AGAATGAATAAAGAGGAGTCTTACAGCTTTGGCTCGTTTCATTTCTAGAGCTTAGAAAACCATGAGAGCTCCTGAGACTCTGGCGGAAGCTAGGTTTTGCTACTTCCAGGATAGGAGTAACCTTCCCCTGTTCCTTCCAATGGGGCAGAGACCTCCAGGGAACCCCAGAAGTGCCCATACTATCTCCAGACTCCCTTTATGTCACCTTAAAGGAGAGCCTGAGTCCCTTTCTCACTAGTCCCAACCAGACAGGGAAGGGACATAGCCAGGAGCTGGGCTTCTGCAGGCAAGCTTAAGGCTCCATCCTGTCCCACCTGCAGTCAGGGCTGAAGCGCACCAAGGTGGCATGGTCCAGCTCCACATTGGCTCTCATGCTGCGATGCTCCCGCTGCAAGAAGTCTTTGGTGCTCCAGATGCGGACAGTGCGGTCATCTGCACAGGTAGCCAGATACTTCCCATTGCTACTGAAGTCCATGCAAGATATGTTTCCACTGTGACTCTAGGTAAAAGAATGGGCAGGCTGAACTTGGAGTTACATCTCTAGGTCCCTGATGCTTGGATGAACTGCAAGTTAAAGATGGCCTAGGACAAGATAAGATAGGCCTGGTGGTATAGGTCTGTAATCCCAGCTACTGAGGAAGCTGAAGCAAGAGGATCTCAAGTTCAAGACCTTTCTAGGGTACAGAATAAGTTTGAATTCAGCCTAAGTAACCCAGTGAGACTCTATCTCAAAAAGTAAAACATGGCTAGGGCTGTAGCTCAGTGGTAGCACACCTGACTAGAATTCCCCAGTGAGGGGCTAGGGTGTAGTTGGTTCAGTGGTAGAGCATCTGCCTAGAGTCCTCCAGTTAAGGGACTGGGGGCACTGCTCAGAGTTAGAACTCTAGCCTAGAATCCCCCAGTGAAGGGGACGGCTCAGCCGTAGAGCACCTGGGTAACATGCACAAAGTCCTAGGTTCAATCTCTAGTGCTGCTAGGGAAAAAACAAGACAAAATAAAGAAAAGCAGAAAGGCCACATGGAGCATGCATGCTGACTTAGTCAGGGACATCTGTAACATGCTCAGATTGCTACAAAGGACAAAGTCTGTGGGATCTAGGACTTCATTTACATATATGTGTTTGGTACCCAAAGGTACCATGTACCTTTAATGCTGCAGCCAGAAGGCGGTGGGTAAAGTTGTGCTGTTGAGGCTTCTCCTTGCGAATCCGCTGATTCTGTTTCTGTTTCTTGGATCCTGACTTCTTGCATTCATTTGCTTTTTGGCCTGGAAGGAAGAACCATGTCATTTACTCACATAGTCACTACTGCGTCCCTAGGATTGGCCAGGCTCTGGGTAGAGCACCAAGACATGAACAAGATATGGCTCTTGTCCTTGAGGAAAGAAAGTGATGTGGGTAAAAACAGGCTTGCAGGAGTCTTGAGGAGATGGCTTAATAGGTAAAGCACTTAGCCTCCAGTTTCAAGGACTTGAGTTCCAATCCCAAACACATGTTAAAATGCCAAGTATGGTAGTGCACACTTGTAATCCCAGCACTGGGGAGACAGAGACAGGAAGATCCTTGGGGCTCTCTGGCCAGTAAGCCTAGCCTAATTCATGAGCTTCTGGAGAATGAGAGACCTGGTCTTAAAGGAGGTGAATGGCGTTTCTGATGACATCTGAGATGGTCTTTTGGTCTCCACGTGCACCCACACACAAACACATGCACACACACACTCACTGAAAAACAAAACAGGGCTTGAGAGATGGTCTAGCAGTTAAGAGCACTGGCTGCTCTTGCATGGACTGGAGTATGGTTCCCAGCACCCACATGGTGGCTAATAAGCTCCTTTAACTTCAGTTTCAGGAGATCCAATGCCCTCTTCTGCCCTCTGTGGGCACTGCACAAATATAGTGCACTTACTTGCATGCAGGCAAAACAATCATACACATTAAAAAAAAGGCAGGCTCAGAAATCAAACTTGGGTTTGGATTCTGTCTTTACCACTGGTGATTTTTCCTCCCTTAAAGCCATATTTAAAATTGAACCTATAGTTCTGTGCATGCTAAGGCAAGCACTCTACCACTGAACTACATCCCAGCCCTCAGAAGTGATCTTGTAGAGGTTACTTGCTGTGAGTCTGTACAGCACCTCCATACAAGTTAGAAAGGCACTGTCTCTGGGCTGACAAAGCTGGGTGGGTTCAAAGCTCAGCTCAGTGTGGATTCCTGATCAGGTATCCCTAGGTAGGAAGTAATGTGTACAAGTGAATATGGAGGCCTTGGTCTTAGGTAAGTTACTTAACTGCTATAGATCTCGGTTTCCTTAAAGAGATACTGAAACCAGGCATAGTGGTACATGCTTGTAATTCCAGAACTGGGAGGATCAGGAGTTCAATCAAAGTCAAACTTGGCTACACTGCAAGTTCCAAGCCAGCTTGGAACCCTATTACACGAGACCCTACCTTAAAAAACCAAAAAGTTCAGAGAACTAAATGAGCAGTATAACAGTATATTAAAATCAACAAGCCAAAAGTACTCAACTCTCATTAATGGGGAAACTCAGGGACATGGCATACACATGTAATCCCAGTACTTAAGAGGCTGAGGCAGGGGGACACAAGAGCTCCAGGCTAGCTTGGGCTGTATATACACTGAGACCTATTTAACCATCAGTTTATCTAATAGAAAGGCGGTTCAAGGCAATCTCAGAAATTACTCAGAAAGTCAACCCAGGTTGAACGTCTACCCTCTGCCAGAAATGCTACCAGTCACTTCTGCAAAAAATTCTGGAGAACAGGCCTAATAAGATAGCTTGGCAGGTAAAGGCACTTGCCACCAAACCTGATGACCTGAATTTGATCTCTGGGACCCATACGGTGGAAGGAGAAAGCTGACTCCCAAAAGTTTTCCTCTGATGTCTACACAAGCATCATGGCACACTCAAAATCTTGGATAACCAAGTAGACACAAAACTGGCATGTGTTTTGTGGCAGTACATGTTCCCCAATTCTTACAGGAAGTAAAGCCTCCTGAATTATCACACTATGCCTTCTATTTATCTTTCCAACCATCTTTAACTTGCCCATACTGACCTTTGAAGTTACACTAGATACTGGTCCCCCTTTTTTTGCCTCCAGTGTTGGGATATAACCTAGGCTTTTGAGTAGGCTAGGCAAGAGTTCTATCACTGAGTCACAGCCCTCACTAAGGGGATTCTGGATAGGACCACTAAAGCTGCACCATACACCCCAACTTCCAAATACTGTTTTGGAAACACTTGCCTTCTTTTTTTTAATATTTTATTATTTTTACTTTATGTGTATGAGTGTATTGCCTGCATGTATGTGAATGCACCCGTGTCGTGCAATGCCATGGAGATCAGAAGAGGGCTTCAGATTCCCCTGAAACTGGAGTTAAGGATGGTTCTTAGCTGCTATGTGGGTTCTGGGAATCAAACCTGGGTCCTCTACAAGAGCAGTCAGGGCTCTTAACCGCTGACCCATTTCTCCAGCCTCAGACTTGCCTTCTTGAGTTTTGCTATTGACAGAAATGTCTTCCTTTGGTCTCCTGGCAAAATCGTCCTACACCACTGTCTTTGAACACCTCACAGCATGGTCTGGTGTAGCTTGGTGGTAGACTGCTTGCCTGAGACCCTGGGTTCCACATATCCAGTACCAAACAACAAGGCTTGGCACAGGAGGTATAGGCCGTAAATCCCAGCACTCAGGATACTGGTGTGTGTGTATACATACATATATATATATAAAGTGATTTTTATTTGTACAAGTGTTTTGATTGGTGGTATGTTTATTGTTGTGTTTGTGTGTGTAGTGCTCACAAATGCTGGAAGAGGACTACAGAGAGGCCATGTGGGTGGTGGGAGCCAAACCCTGGTTCTCTAGACGAACAGGTAAATGCTCTTATTCCCTGAGCTACCTCTCCAGCACCTGGAATATTGAGGCAGGAGGATTCAGAGTTCAAGGCCAGCCAGGACTACTACATAGTTAAACCCTGTCTCAAACATAAACCCACCACTATAGATTCCCTATTCTCAATTAAAAATTCCTCAGTCCCCCCAATCTTCCCTCATCCCACCAAAAACAGAAGCCAGGGCAGGACTATTCATTCCCCCTTCTGTAAATCCAATACTGTATATTTCACCCACATTCTCAGATGTTTATAGGTCAGAGTCACACTGCAAATGTATGTTTTTTAATTCGTTTAAGAAGTCCCCGAGTTTATCAATGGTAACAGGGACTCGAGGCTGGGGGGTGGTGGGGTTGGTCACAACTGGGCCGAAGAGGACGTTCAAAGGACCCTCGGAACACGTGGCTAGCCTTGGAGCGGACAGGGTTTCCGCTGCACCACCCCGGGACAGCGGCTGTCCCAGGAAAAGCCACCTACAAGAGCGCAGCACAGCACCCAGGGTCCAACCAGTCTTGCCTCCGGGACGCAACCCGGACTCGGCAGGGGAAGCTCATTTCACAACTGGGGAAACTGTGGCCAGCGAGTCTCTGGCCTCCGCAGATCACGCAGCGCCCGGGGTCGAAGTCCCCACCAGGCGCCGGCATCCGGCCCGGTCCTACTTACAGAGAGGCTTGCTGATCTTGTCCTCCTCCGCCCGCAGCCAGCCTCGCGCCACCGCCGCCGTCGCCATTAGGGCCAGCAGCCCCACCAGGAGGGACAGCCCCATCAGCTCCGGCATCTGCGGCAGCTCCATGCCTCCCGGGCCGCGCCACCTCAGCTTACGATGCCGACGTTTCAGGTCTCGAAGAACGCGGGGAAGGGGCAAACCGTTGGCGCGCCTCGAGGGCGGAGCCTGGTCCTTTGCCTGCCTCCGGGGGGCGGGTCCTTAGCGTGGACGGGGCGGGACCTAACCTTTGCGCGCCTCGAAGGGCTGGGCCTGAGCGTTTGTCCGCCTCAGGGGGCGGGGCCTGGCCCATAGAGTGTTTCGTGAAGCGAGGCCCGTTGCCCGGCTCTGGGGAGTTTGGGGGCGGGGGGGCGCCTAGACTTTTGCGGGCATCATGGGGCGGGGCCTAGTCGTTAGTGTGTTCTATGAGTTGGGGGGTCTGGAGACTTGAGAGCTTCGAGGGACTCCCGACCGTTATAGTTCTCTGTGGGGCGGCACCGAATCGTTAGCTCCCCTGTAGGGGTGGAATGCGGCGGTTACTGTGTTCCGTGAGGCCTAGCCACTTCCGTGCCTCTGACGACGTGGCAAGGCCTTTTGCACGTCCTGTGGGGAGGGGCCTGCTGCTTGGCGCGCCTCCAGGGGCGGGGCCTGGCTGATGGGCGCTCCGGCCTTTGCTCGTCAGAGGGACCGGACCAAATTGCGCATATTGCAAGGCACGGCTTTGCCCTTGAAGAGTCTGGAGGGGTGGGGGGTGGTCTGACGGTTATCCAGTGACCAGGCTTGGCTGTTTTCCTGTTATGTGGGGCAAGATTTGGCCGTTTTAGAGTTCAGCGAAGGAGTCTGACTACTGGCGCACCTCGAGAGGAGGCTAGTTGGAGTTCGCTGTTTCCCGTACTCTGAGGGGCGGGCCTGGACGATTGTGCGCTTTGGGGGCGGGGCCTTGAGAGGTGGGCTCTAGCAGGGCCAGGTCTGAGTCAGCTAGCTGCTACTCTTGCTCTGAGGGGCGGGGCCTGTCTCGGTGTGCATTCTCGGCCTTGAGGGGCGGGGCCCGACCGGTTTGAGTGTGCTCCAGCTTTCCCTGGTCTGCTAGTTGCTCTAGGGACTTTAGCTGGTTTGAAGGGGCGGGACTTGACCGCTGAGTGCCCTAGGGGCGGGGTTTAGTGGTTGTCACTCCTGATAAGCAAGGCCTGGCTATTGGACCGGTTTCTGAGGGGCGGGACCTGACCGTCCGTGGACGCCTGGAGAGCCACGTTGTATCCAGGTGATGTGTGGGTCCGGCTGGAACCTCCCTTTGATGACAGCGTATTAAAAACTTTATTCTACCACTACTACATGCTATCCTTTCAAGAAAAAAGGGCACGTTCTTATGCCCACCGAACCAGTGGGAAAGTTTCAGTAATCAGGGAAAATTCAGATGGGCTATCACTGCTGGAAAAGGGAAGGGTAGCCCTACCATTGATGTGGGATAGCTCAGCAAAGACCTGATCCAGCGCGGGTGTTGTGGAGAGGCAAAGGTGTGAACATAAAACTGTAATGGCAGGGGCTGGAGAGATGGCTTAGCGGTTAAGAACACTGTTCTTGCAGAAGACCCGGGTTTGAATTCCAGCACCCACATGGCAGCTAACATTTGTCCGTAACTCCAGTTCCAGGGGATCTGACTGCCTCTTCTGTCCTCCACGGGTGCACTTACTTACATGCAGGCATAACACTCATACACATAAAATAAAAATAATAAAATATATATTTTTTAATGTAATAGCAAATAAGGTGGGCAAGGTCTGGAGAGCCTCGAGTGCTGGCTCCAGTCCTGCACGCTGGTTATCAAAGGAGGACACGGGGCAAAATCGGCAGATGAACTATTTTGTGCTATGACCAAAGTCAGAAAACAAGCCTGGCAGAGCATTTGCCTAGCGTGTGCAAGGCACTGCGATTGATCCTCAGCATTGAAAAACGAAACAGCAAAAACCCAAACATGATGAGGGGGGAATGTATGTAGCTCAGTATGTAGCAAGCATGAGGACCTGCATTCCTTCCCCAGTAAGACATGAGCCCAGCATGGTAGTACATGCTTATAATCCCAACACTTGGGAGTTGGAGGCAGGAGGATCAGAAATCTTAGGTCATTCTCCATTGCATATCTAGTTCCAGAGCAGCTTGGTTATGTGTGATAAAATAAGCAGACCAGCAGTTCTTGCAAGAATCCTAGAGGGAGGGGCAGGAGAGATCGCTTAACAGTTAAGAGCACTGGTTGCTCTTGCAAAGAATGCTGCAAAGAAAGCAAGTTCAGTTTCCAATCCCCTAGTAGTGTTTAATAACTATTAACTCCATCTCCAGGGCATCCAACTCCCTCTTCTGGCCTACGTGGGCATTGCTTGTCATGGGTGCACTTCCACATACGCAGGCAAATAATCATGAATATAAAGTATTTTTTTAGGAAAAGGAAACCTAGCTGGGTGTAATGGCCTACAAGCACTCTAGAAGCAGAAGCAAGTGGATCTCTGTAAGATCGAGCCCAGCCTGGTCTACAGAGTGAGTGAGGTCAGCCTGGTCTACGGAACAAGTTCAAGGCCAACTGGAGGCTACAGGGAGACCCTGTCTCAAAATTAAAAAAAAAAATCCTAGAGGGAAGCATTAGGTGCCTGGATTTGGGGGTGGCCTGGAGAATGAAAAGGAAGTTGAAAAGGAGATACTGATTTTTTTCCACACTAAAGATCAATAATCCAGGTTATTCATTATGCTAAACAGTTGCTCAATGATTAAGCTACAATCTAGTATGTGGAAAGATTTTGGTTTTGCATATGTATGTGTGTTTGGTGTGCATATTCACATGTGTGCAAGTGCATGTGTGTGCATTTGTGTGGAAGCCAGAGGGTGATGTTGGTGTCTTGAGTGCTGGCCACCTTATTTAATTTTTATTTTTATTTTATGTATATGAGTGCTTTTTTCTGAATGGATGAAAGTGTACCTGTATCTTACAATACTGTGGATGTCAGAAGAGGGCATCAGATCCCCCAGACTTGTCAGCTACTATGTAGGTTCTGGGAACCAAACCTGGGTCCTCTGCAAGAACAGCCAGTGCTCTTAACCTCTAAGCCATTGCTTCAGGCCCTGTTAACCTTTTTTTTTTGTTTGTTTGTTTGTTTGTTTGTTTGTTTTTTTGAGGCAGGGTCTCCTTGTAGCCCCATCTGGCCTGGATTTGCTATGGAGACCAGGCTGGCCTCGAACTCCCAGAAATCCTCCTGCCTCTGCCTTCTGAGTGCTGGGATTAAAGGTGTGCGCCACCATGCCCAGCCTAGGCCCTGTTAGCCTTATATACTGAGGCAGGGTGTCTTATTAAACACTGAGTTTACTATTTCAGCTAATATCGCTAGCTAGTTTACTCCCAGAATTCTGTCTCTGCTTCCATTGTGCTGGGACTGCAGGTGGGCTGATTAGAGGTGGGTCCACATGGCCACCCAGCTCTAGATGGGCACTTGGGATCCAAACTTTGGTCCTCATGATAGAAACAATAAAGTACTTTTCCATCTCCCCAGTCCCAAAAGATTTTTTTGTTTGTTTTGATTTTTTAAAATATTTTATTTATTAATTTTATTTTATGTGTATGAGTGTATTGCCTGCATGTATGTGAGTGCACCCATGTCATGCAATGCTGCAGAGGTCAGAAGAGGGCTTCGATTTCCCCTGGAACTGGAGTTAAGGAAGGCTTGTAGCCGCATGTGGGTACTGGGAATTGAACCCGGGTCCTCAGTGCTCTTAGCTGCTGAGCCATCTCTCCAGCCCCTATTTTTTTTTAATGTACATGAGTGTATTGCCTACATGTATGTAAGTGCACCCATGTTGTGCAATGCCTGTGGAAGTCAAAAGAGGTTGTTGTTGGGCCGGGCATGGTGGCGTACACCTGTAATCCCAGCACTCAGGAGGCAGAGGCAGGCCGGTCTCTGTGAGTTTGAAGCCACCCTGGTCTACAAAGTGAGTTACAGGCCAGCTAGGGCTACAGGGAGACCATGTCTCAAAAAAGACCAAAAAAAAAAGAGGTCGTCGGATTCCCTGGAACCTGAGTTATGGATGACTGTTAGCCACCATGTAGGTGCTGGGAATCAAACTTGGGTCCTCTGCAAGAGCAGCCAGTGCTCTTAACCACTAATCCATCTCTCCAGGACATTGTTTCTGATTTCTGAAACAGGTTCTCAATATGTATGTAATCCAGGCTGGCCTTGAATGGACAACAATCCTCTTACCTCAGCCTTTGGAGTGCTGGGATGAGAGGTGTTGGTGTTTGCCACCACACTCATCTTGAAAGCAGTCTGCCTCAAAAGAGGCAGTCTCTATGTAATCCTGGCTGACCTGAAACTCCCTATGGACTAGTCTTGTCTGCTCTTGAACTTGCAGAAATCTTCTTGCCTTAGCCTCCCAAGTGCTGGGAATACAGACATGTACTACTAAGCCCAGCTTTTAAAAACAAAGTTATTTGAAAAATCATTATAAATTTACAAGACATTGAAAGAAAACTAAACTTCCTAGGTGTGGTGGTGAATGCCTGCAATCTCAGTACTTGGGAGATGGAGGCAGAAGGATCAGGAGTCCAAGGCCAGCCTAGGCTATATAGAGGAAATTCCAGACTGGCCTATGCTATATGAGACAGGGCCAATGAGATGACTCAGCAGGTCAAGGCACCTGTCATGTTGTTGCTTTAATCAGGAGGCAGAAGCAGGTGGACCTCTGTGAGTTCAAGGCCAGCCTGGTCTACATAGTGAGTTCCAGGCCAGCTGGGGCTATAGGGAGACTCTGTCTCAAAAAGACCAAAAAAAAAAAGTAGCCTCTAAAACAAGTGAACAGTGTAGTCTTGTGGACTCTTCTACCAAGTTTCCTCCCAATTAGGAGCATCTTGCAAAAGCATAGCAGAACATGCAACCAGAAACTTGACATTGATATAATCCATAGATACCACCAAAATGGACATATCATGAAAGATAATTAGTAAAATTTGGATTAGACGTGCTTGGCTGAGCCAGGATTGTGGCACAAGCCTTTAATCCCAGCACTCAGGAGGCAGAAGCAGGTGGATCTCCGTGTTTCAGGTTAACCTGGTCTACATAGTGTGTTCCAGGCCAGCCAGGACTACACAGTGAAACCCTGGCTTTTTTTTGCTTTTTTTAAAAAAATATTTTTATTTTATGTGTATGAGTGTATTGCCTGC